AACAAAACAACCAAGAAAATAGCTCCAATCTATTATAACTATAAATAGTTTCGGTCATACTTTCGATATGTTTACAAGACTGCAACTCTGCGGATAAAAAACACAACTCACGGATAAAAAGCACAACTCACAAATAAACCACACACTCAGGTTTGATTTGGGTTGTGCTATCCTATGTAGCTGTCTGTGTGTTACATAAACTAAAAGAATGTTTATAAATAATATTTTCTGGATAGTTTACTTTAGTTTTTTTATGTAATACACAACTTTCACCCAAACTGAATAATTAAAAAAAACAAAAACAGTTTTTACCGGGTAACCTAAATCTTCTATAAATATTTTTGAGTCTTTATTTTCTTTTATTTGCCTACTCAAGTTCTCATTAAAACTAGACATGCTTATTCTGTGTATTTTGACCACTTTTTGTGTGAAATCATATTTATTTTTGTCCATCAAAAGTGTGCTTTTACTCTAATTTAGCGTGAGCAGTGCAGCAAAAACAGATTCGGCACGAAACCCCTGCTTCACTGCTGCTCAAGCGCTGCTCATGCTCCCTGTTTCAATGCACTCATTAATTAACATACATGCTGAAAAACACGCGCCGCTCACTCATGCGGTGTGAAACGGCCGTTAGATACACGCCATCGTGTACACATAAATCTCGAACCCATGGTCGTCTTCTCATTTCTGTCGCTCTACATACGTCATCTGGTATAATTGAAACGATTGGCTTCGAATATGCTTTAATTACGGCCGGGAAGATCTCAGACCAATTTCAGAAAGAATCCCACCAGCAAAAAGGAGTAGGAGCATGGCGAAGGTAACATGATACATTACATCAGTCTTCTACAATTCCAACACAGTGACGAACCGTGACTCCTCTGTACCGTTACACCCCTTATATAATTATATATTGATGAGAATTAAGCACATTTTCCCCAGAATTCTTAATTATCTTCTGCAAAAAATATTATTTAATTTTGAGAAAAAAGAAAAAAGTTTACCACTATCCTAATTTCCCACTACCGTCTCTCTCTCTCTCTCTCGCCATAGGTGGTTCATCGTTGGGTGCCTTGCAGTCGTGATCCGGTTAGCCGGTCTCACATTGATAAGACCATCCTGCTGGTCCAGGTGGATGATAAACTGGTTCCCATTATAGAGACGGGAGTGATTGAACTGGGGGCAGAGGTGTGAGGACACACTCATCTAATGTCAGTCCAGAGGAAGAATGAGGCCACACTCACTTCCAGCTGCTGATCGGGCGCAGGAATCCAGGGAATCGTGCAAATGGAGAAACGTACACACACTCGCACGCTGTAAGAAGCACACTTGCTCGGATCTGGACAGAAAGCTGCCTTGCTCTGTGTTCCTCGGATATGCTGCATGAGAGATCAGCTCCTGTAAACTCTTCTCTCTCTGTTTCTCTCCTTTATGAGCAGCTGCGGTCTCATTCTGTTTCTTAGTTTCTATGCATCTCATCAGTTGTCTGTAAACACATGCAAGCTCACAGGGAACACTAAAGCCAAGCTTGATGTACGTGCAGAGAAAGCAGCTTTTTTTTATTACAGCTATAATCAAGTTTTATTTTGTATTTTCTGCCAAAATAAGTCAGGTGCACAGTGCTGCCCTGGACATGCAGTGAATCTTGTGACAGACTGTTTTACTAGCTGCCAAGAAAGACAGAAGATTGTGGTGACAATAAAACGGAAGCAGGTGCTTCCAGTACAGAGCTCTCTTATGTCATCCTTATTTTTATTTTTTTTATCCTCATTTATTTTGTTGAGGATCCGTTTGAAAGCAAAGAGACAGGTGTTATGAGAAACTTAAACTTGCACTATGATTTGTTTTTGATTTGCAGCTGTGCACTACTCTCTAAGATCACACATTATTTATTCCTCCACGGTTTAAATCGCCATGGTTGCCGTTGCCTTTGGAATGCAAAATGCGAACGAAATCGACACATTCTTTTCTGCCATTTTGACTTTTTTTCTTTAGCTTGAGGACAGAAGTGGTTTTTAACCACGTGTAGGTATGTATGAATATATAAAAGTGTCTGTATAAAGATTTGGCTTTGAATATTTATTATTGTATTTACATTTTGTTATATTGTTTTTCATTTACGGGATAAATAAAGACAATGCATAAATATGTCCTGTACCTGAGTGAGTGATGATATTCTTTTATGAGAAAGAGTGCATGGTGTTTTCTGTGGCATGAACTCATATTCATTTGATCTGGGAACGAAATTTCCGGGCCATTAAAATAGCCATACCAGTGAATGGATCACAGGGAGGGAATGGCTCCGTTTTCCAATCAGTAATGTTTTTTTAATATAAATTAAGTGCAGTGATTCATTGCTTTGGCTGTGATCACTGGCATAATCTGTATATCAGTGCAATGGCTTTAGGTTAAAGAAAAGCAGTAAATACAGTGGGGCCAAAAAGTATTTAGTCAGCCACTGATTGTGCAAGTTCTCTTATTTGGAATGATGAGAGATTTTCCACCATAATTTACAAATAAATTCTTTAAAAATCCTACAAAGTGATTTCCTGGATTTTTTTTTTTTTTTTCATTTTGTCTCTCATAGTTGAAGTGTACCTATGATGACAATCACAGACCTCTCTCATCATTCTAAGTAGGAGAACTTGCATAATCAGTGGCTGACTTAATATTTTTTGGCCCCACTGTACATGAAACCGATATCTTAAAATAAAAAAGAGCTTTTGGGAAAATGTTAGTCACAGTGTCTCCTTTTATATTTGAAGGTGATTTTTCATTGATTTTGTGTTATAAGACCGGAAGGAAATATATGAATTTCTTTATATAACAAATGATAATCATGTCCTGTAGGTTTCTTGACATTTATGTTTACTTTACGAGATATCGTAACAGTTCATATTGCAAGCAGTAAATAGTAATGGAACTTTAATTCATTATTGTCGTTGTTGCGCAAAACCTCGAATCTCCATATTGCTTTTCTTATTTTACTTTTTCACACATCATTACTATTGGTGGTCACTCTTTATGTCTGTTGTGGGTTTTGCAAGTTTTTAGCCAAAAAAGTATTAAAAAGAGCTTGTGACTAAATCTTGTAACTCCATTGGCTTCTTATAACCTCATGACTCCACCCTGCCGCACTCAGTTTGAACCATCACTGATTGTTTGCAATGGTAAATAAAGAACTGCTCTTTGAATAAATACAGTGTTTTCTTTACCTAAGAAACACTAAGGCTGATGTTTATCAATTTGATGAGCATAGTACAGTGTCATAGCCAATACTGTCTTATAGCTTCTGCGTAGCACTTCGTCTTTAATAACATGATAATAACATTTTGGCCAAATGACAGAAATAACGGAGCACCCTAATACACTATATTGGTAAAAGTTTGGATACGTCTGCCTTTACATGCACATGCACTTTAATGACATCCCATTCTTACTCCGTAGGGTTTAATATGGTGTTGGCAGACACTTTGCAGCTATAACAGCTTCAACTCTTCTGGGAAGGCTTTTTCCACAAGGTTTAGGAGTGTGTTTATGGAGGGTTTTGACCAAGCGCATTTGTGAGGTCAGGCATTGGTGTTGGACGAGAAGACTTGCGAGTCTCTGCTCTAATTCATTTCAAAAGTGTTCTATCGGGTTGAGGCCGGGACTCCACATCAAACTCGCTCATCCTTGTCTTTATGGACCTTGCTTTGTGCGCTGGTGCGCAGTCATGTTGGAACAGGAAGGGGCCATCCCCAAACTGTTCCCACAAAGTTGAGAGCATGAAATTTGCAAAAAATTCTCAAGTGAAACAATTTGTAACTCCATTTGAGATTGATTTTGGTCAAATAATGACACATCTGACCATACATGAAGCAACATTATTACCGTAACTTTGTTAACAGCGTTAAAAAAAAATCTTGCTTAGGTCATTATTGCCTGGTTTCATTGTCTGATTAAAAGAATCAGAGATCATGTGAACAGCAGGGAAAACTGTATGCTTGTTTTTGAGGAACAAGCCTGTGTGGCTGTCAACATGTGTACACCTGCAGAACAATTTACAATGAATTCTAATATTAACAGGCTGAGTGAAGGGACTTTAATACTGGTGTAATAAATGATTGCTAAGATAAAAAGCACATTTGGTGTCAAAGGTTTTAGTTTAGTTGTGAATGGTTTTTGTCATCCAAGTCAGTCTATAATTATGAACAATAATAAGACTTTCTTTGTGGTATTATGATTACAAACACAGATGAAATTTGGAATTCAACAATTCTCTCTCAATACATTGACTTAAAAACTGAGATGTCACATTGTCACACAAGTAGTAAATTACACAGTAAATTAGAAACTGTAGAGGGGTTTCCCAAGAAAACAACAGAAAATAGGTCAAGCAACAGATTATTATAGATTGATTTAAAACAACAGTGAGATATGTTTAAATCAGCATAAACTACAATAACAATTCTAAACATTCTAAATTCTAAATAATTCTAAAAATTCTCTGCTTACAGTGAGATACTTTACATAATGGCATACTCTGTTATCTCTCTCACAAATCAACACCTGAACAGGTGAGATAAAAAAAAATGCGTTGGTGAAAAATGCGTTGGTGTTGTGAAATAGCAGTCATATGACAAACAGATGATCTGATCATGTGCTCCCATATATTCTGCCTAGATAATGAAAAAGAAAGACGGGTGTCTATGCTGATCTTCCTGTACAAGTATTTATAACGTTTTTTCTTTCTAACAAATGATTAAATCCCCTACTAAACTTAGGGGCATTTCCCCTTAACTTTCACAACGGACCACTTCAATGCATCAATCTATTTCTATAATATAAAAAAGTACAAAGTTTCCTTTCCTTTTGTTTTGTTTTTGGTTTTTAGTCAAACTCATGGCACATGACGAATAGTCAGGTGGTCAGTTGAGGCTCCGCCCATGGGTCGAAGTTGATTGGATGGTGCGCTGAGCCGTATTAAGCGGATTGGTTAGAGCATCGAGTCGGCGAGCGGTGATTGGCTGCTGCACATGCGTCCCCGTCTCACAGGTTGCAATAAAGCGTCGCGTCGCTCCAGCTCGGAAGCTCGGTCAGCGCTACAGTAGCAGGTAAGCGCAGAAACTATTAATGTCTCTATTTAGTATAAAGTCTACTCATTTTGTTTGGTTGTGTTTTGTATATTTAATAACCTCAAGGTTAAATACTTAATTCAACTAAAAGGTTACTAGTTTAAAACCCCCTATGGCCTGTTGTTATTTTTGTTAATGGGATGGTCACGAGACCACTTGCAAAAATATATCATGGCAAACACAGTTTACCGGCCAAATTGCTACAGTCTTTAGTACCCCAATTAAATTCGGTATTTGCTACCATTATCATCAAAAGAGACATTCAACAAAATTACATATTGTTACCGTATTCTTTTTAAGGAGTTGTATTAGGGTTTTACAGTAGTAACAATAACTGTTGGAACTGTTGGCAGAAATGGGGTATAAAGATAAACATGTGTAAGAGGACATTTGGAATAAGCTAAAAAAGAATTATAATTTCACCCTATCTCAGCCTTACTGTAATCCTACAATAATATCAAGAAAACACACTGTGTCTGAGTTAAAGTCTATACTACAGCTATACATTATATACTTGTATAAATAGTTGCATTCTGTAATGGTGACTTGCAGTTAAGATGTTTGTTGTCATGTTAGGAAATGGAGCATATGTTGTGTATTTTTTTTTCTTTTAGAGAGAATCACAAATATGTTAATGTACATAAAGGCCTGGTTTAATTTCAGAGCAAAAACATAGTGTAATATTAGCTATAAATATGATTAAATTATTAAAATGAAGGTCCTCATCACATTAAATTCTATGTGGTTTTGCAAATTCTTTTGCCTTTTTAGGGAAGTTTACAACCTTTAACATTTTGAAAGCACACTTGGCTTTTTTTTTCTGGTTGATTTTCCATCTCTGTTGTCAGTAGATTGCAGAGATGATCGCACAGAGAGTGGCAGTTTCACTTCTCGCCCTGAGCCTGGGGCTGGTGGTGAGTGGTTTCCCTGCCGAGCAGCCAGACAATGGGAAGCACTGGGTCGTCATTGTGGCCGGATCTAATGGCTGGTACAATTACAGACATCAGGTGAGAAAGGAAGTGATCTTTGAGGTGGAGAAAGTACATGGTTTTCCAAGTGAGTTTAGTCAGTTGTCTTATCCGAAGTCTCTTTAGATATTCATTTATTCTTTTGTGTGTGTTTATAGGCTGATGTGTGCCATGCATATCAGATTGTCCATAAGAACGGAATTCCCGATGAGCAGATTGTGGTGATGATGTATGATGATCTTGCTCAGAATTCTGAGTGAGTATGACTTTATGGTTTTCATATGTCCAAAACAATATTCCCCCAAAAGGCCCTTCTATCTAAGCAGATAAAAAGAAGTCAGTTTAGTCTTGCACAATTATTTTAGTGTATAGTTTACAGTATCTTTAGCATGTTAATTAAAATGAAACTGAATGTAAAGTTCTTAAATAAGACTTATTGGAGTGGGCCCGGCACCCTGGTTGAGGCTGGTAAGAGTTATTGGATCGAGGCTAGTAAGATTTAGGACTTGGTGTTGCTTAGCTCAAAGGTCCAATGGTGCTAGAGGAACAAGCACTTAACCCACATTGCAGAAAATTTGATATATTAGCTATTTCAGATACAAAAAAATAAATAAATAATTGTCGTTGAACACAAAATTATCACTTCCCCTAAATCGCTTTGGGAAAGTTCTGTATTCCAAAAGCAGACACATAAATAATTTAGCTGAAACACATGTACATACACACAAACAGAGCTTTGAGTCTGGTCCTTTGCAGAAGTCACAAGTATCTAATTTAACCACCAGTAGCTTCATGTCATGGTTGTCACAATGACTGGCATTAAAGATGCTTGTGTCATGTTTGTATCCGGTGTGTTCGTTTATTTGTTGGGTGAATCTCACAAATCGCTTTGCATTTTACTCTTAAATAAATAAAAAAGAGGGAAGGGTGAAATTTGTACCTTCATTTTATTGTTGAACTGAAAGTTATGCAACTGTAACATTTATTGCTTTAGTGACTTGATTATGAATTCAAATGTAGGTCAGGTGTTCCGGCTGAATTAAACGATGAAAGAAAGAAATGTTATATGTTTTGGGGTACATTTTTAAACCTACTTTGAAAAGTGGTGCAGAAAGAGATCTTTTTATTATTGTTTTTTGTCTTTTAATAATTATTGTTTTAGCACCAATTTGTATCCATTTCAGTACACAGGTTCATATGACTGTTTTTATGTGTCCAGTAACCCAACTCCAGGGGTGATCATAAACAGACCCAATGGAACAGATGTTTACAAAGGAGTGCTGAAGGACTACATTGGTGATGTGAGTCAATACGTGTAACTCTGTGTCTGAGATTTGAAGTGGTAAGCAGCGTGTTTGGCATCCGTTCACTAATATTGTGTGTGTATGTGATACAGGACGTGACCCCTCAGAACTTCCTGGCGGTGTTGAAGGGTGATTCTGCTGGTGTGAAGGGAGGATCTGGAAAAGTGCTGAAAAGGCTAGTTTCCATTCAAATTTTTATACGCGTCTGATCCATTTGTATTGAAATTACTAACTTGGTTACTGTCTTACTCAATTTATTGCCTTCAGTTCCTGTAAAATATAGTCTCTCTATCTGTTTTTGCATGTTGAGACACATGTGTAAAACAGGTCTTGTGATGTTTTTTTTCTGTTGTTCTTCCTCTTGGCAGTGGTCCAAATGATCATGTGTTTGTGTATTTCACCGATCATGGCGCACCAGGTCTGCTGGCCTTCCCTAATGATGATGTAAGCACTTTTTACTTCTTGTGGTCATTTTAGCTGAATCAGATCCTTTCAGGTGTTCTCACGCACATTACAGTTCTCTCCACTTGTGTAAATGCATCTATTGTGTATATTTTTCATTGTCATTTACAATGATATAATCAACATAATTGAAAAGTTTATAAGGGGGAAAAAGCTCATTTAAACCAAAAACATCCCAAACGATCTCCCCCATTGAAGAGACTGAAGCAATAGGTCAGCTGACATAGAAAATTGTCATATAATGAGTAACGCATTTAACTCCCAGGAAGTTTAGCCATGAGTTTTATCGACAACCTGCTGAAACGACAACATTTTAAGGAATTGTGTGTGAGCAGCTTGGTAGAGGAGTTATTGCTTAACTTCCTTATCCATGACATGTTTATAAATGAATGTGAATGGTGTAAATGAACTGCTTTTATATCTAGAAACTTGCAGTAAATCATGCCTCTACTTTTAGCTTCTTGTAGATGACCTGATGAAAACCATCATGTACATGCACCAAAACAACAAATACAAGAAGGTGAGTGTTACAAGTGTTCATTAAAAAGATGATGCAATCCATAATTTCTGTCAAAAAAACATTATTTATTGTCTTTTTTTTCTGTTAACCCTTTTGCGAACACACACATAGATGGTGTTGTATATTGAGGCCTGTGAATCTGGCTCTATGATGAAGCCTCTGCCTGTTGACATTAATGGTGAGTTTTTTTTCTAAGTTCATCACACATGCTGCTGTGTGTAAATAACATAGTATGTATAATCCGGGTGTGTTTCCCAGTCTACGCTACAACCGCTGCCAACCCTGATGAATCCTCATATGCCTGTTACTATGACGAGGCCAGAGACACCTACCTGGGAGACTGGTACAGTGTCAACTGGATGGAAGACTCCGATGTGGTTAGTAGTACACGCATCTGGGACAGAGGTCCAAATTTAAGAAAAAGAGAAAAGCATTTATTCTGCAATGCATGAACCGCCTGATCATAATGAGAGCAGGGCAGCTCACAATAGAGATTGTGGGAAGGTGTTTTAAATGGTCTTGTGTGTTTGTTTCTTTAGGAGGATCTGAGCAAAGAGACTTTGGCCAAGCAGTTCAAGATCGTAAAGGCCAAAACCAACACTAGCCATGTGATGCAGTATGGAAACAAGGTAATGCACTCACAAACACTGTCTATGAAAGACCTTCAGTAAAGATTAGGAATGCATTCAGATAAGGCACACTGTCTATACACTAGATTGATTCGCATCAGTGATACTGTGAAAGGCATAATTATCTGTGCTGCAAAGTGATTATTTATTTATTGGCATAGGAACAAATTTAAATGTAATGCTAAAAAAAAGATGTTGCATGAAATTGCATTGCATTTAAATATAATGCATAATCATTAATGGCCGGTAAATTCAGTTTACTAGCTCCAACTGTTGCAAAAATGAATTTTAGGACCATGAATGGAAGGAAGTTACTGTGTAAATAAAAATATATATTTCTGTACTCATGGCTCATTTGAATGCTCCCTAAACTCTAGCAACTGTGAGCAGCATCCTGAATATGGATTAGTTTATGAACTATATGATGGATATGCGCTGCATGTTCATTCTTGGTCTAGCGTCTGTCATATATTCTCAGCTAGCTCCAGAAGTTTCCATTTAAAGGCATGTATACTTTATTGACAAGTTAGTGTCTGATGAAAGCATAAATGGTGTTCTGTGTAGCGTCTGCATGTCAGTACTTTACAAATGTAACTGTTTTGGTTTGTTTGTTTTAGACGCTGTCCCACATGAAGGTGCAGGCTTTCCAGGGTAACTCTAAAGGTCTTGATAAAGTGGCCGAGCCGGTATCGTTGCCTGTGATCACTGAACATGACCTCATGAGCAGCCCTGATGTACCCCTCGCAATCATGAAGAGAAAACTCGCCAAGTCTAATGATGTCGAGACTGTTGTTGGTCTCATGAATGACATCCATAAACATCTACAGGTTTGTAGCACAGCTTTTTAACTATTTATTTCAATCGATAATTGTTTATTTTAAGTGTTAAGTTGTGCACTACTGTTCAAAAGTTTGTGGTCAGTAAGATTATTATTGCTAATAAATGTATCATTTTATTTAACAAGGATGCATTTAATTTGATCAAAAGTGACCGTAAAAACATTTTTGCAAAAAATTCTATTGCACATAGATGCTGTTCTTTTTAATCTAGTTTTATTTAGTTTCCACAAAAATATTACGCAGCACATATTTCTTGAGCAGCAAATCAGCATATTAGAAGGATTTCTGAAGGATCATGTGACTGAAGACTGGATTAATGATGCTGAAAATTCAGAATAAATTTTTTTTTTTAAATATTTTTAAAAAATTATTATGATTTATTACATTTCACAATATTATTTATTTTATCAAATAAATGTATCTTTGGTGAACCTGAAACTTATTTAAAAAAAAATAAAATAAAAAATCTTACAGTCCCCAAACATTTGAATGGTAGTGTATGTGACACTACTTGCTATACTAAAAGTGATGTCAGATTGATATATTTCAGTCAAGAGTATCATTATTATAATAGCTTTTGTTTCTGTAGACGCGGGAGCTGCTTGGTAACACTATGCAGAAGATCGTGGAGCATGTGGTCCAGGACAAAGAGGAAGTGAGGGATTATCTGGATGGACGTGAAGAGCTCACACAGTATGAATGTTACAAAACCGCTGTCAAGCACTACAAGAAACACTGCTTCAACTGGCACCAGCAGGAGGTACAAACATTCAAGATTTTTGCAACATTATTAGTTGGGGTATACTGTGTGTATGAGACCTCTTTTCTCTCTTGTTGCAGTATGAATACGCTCTGAGACACCTGTATGCTTTAGTGAACCTGTGTGAGGGAGGATACCAGGCCCAGAGGTAAAAACACCCGTTTCCTTTTTATCACTTTTACTTATCGCTAGACTATGATGTGTAAAATTCATAAACAATAAAGCATTAAAGTGCTTGTGAAATGTGTTTCCGTAATAAACAGCGCCCTCTGCCTGCGCCAGCGAGTTATGTAAAGATGTCTTACGGGATGTGAAAGAGAGTTCAATAGGTTTATTTTATTTGTGATTTAAATCTCTCCATTCTCGCAGAATCACAGCAGCCATGGATGATGTGTGTTACTTCAGGCAGTAGAAATGTGAACATGAGCCAAAGAGGATTTTTTTTTTGGACGAACTACACGTTGCACATAAGAACTTGACTATGGAAGAAATCTGTACACTGCTTTGATTTGGATCTTTTTGAAAATTTTTCTTTTAATGAGGATTTGCACTTTTAAAAGTAATAATTGTGGAGTTTTACTGATCTTTATTTTGTTTTAAAAAAGAAATATGCTTTAAGATACTGCCCGGCGATTCCTGACAAACACTTTGGGCGGTTTACTTTTTATATCGTGTGTATTTTTTATTTTTTCTTCGTCGGATGCCTCATCAATGAGATTGACGGCTTTAGAATGACACAATGACTTAAAAAAAGAATGAAAGCCAAGTTTTTGGCATCTGTTATGTTCACAATAAAAATAAGTTTAGCTTGGAAACCAAACTTTTAAATGTCCAGTTCGAGAATGAAATCCAGTCTTACAGGATAAAACACTAGCTAGACACATTTAGCTACATTTTTGCACAACCGTTTTTATTTTTTTCTTATTTTTTTTTATAAGCCGGTGTTAATCACCTTGTTTGCTGAGCCGTCAGTATACCCAATTTCTCTGCAGTAGTGAATTCTAGAAGCTCTTGTTTGGATATTAAATGCAAACCTATCAAACTAAAGTGAAAACAAACTCTTCTACCTGAAGTTTGTGGTCATATTTAAGAAGTGTCTTAAATAACTGAGAACCGCTGCACTTTGAGCAGTTAATGAGCTACTGTGTTAAGTGTAATGGTCGAAGTGTCAGGCTGTGCTATTATGTCAAATGCCTTTTGTTTAGAGCAAATTGAGTCCTCAAGCCACTGAACTAAAGGGAGGTGTGATGTTTGCTGGAGATTGAGCCCTGTAGGAAAAGTGACTTTGCACTGACAACATGGGCTAAACAATACTCTGAACTATACTGTCAGACCTCTTTTCAATATATAATCTGTTAAGGTGTGAGTTTTGATTATAAAATAATAAACCTGAATTGAGTGAAATTTGTTGAATGCAATTTTTATTTTATTTTGTAATAGTCCAAGTTTCTCTTTACAAATGAATAGATGTTACTAGATTGACATTTTTATTTAATTAGTTCTTGTATCATATACTGTAGCAACAAAAAAACTCAGTTGTGAGAAATTTGCAAACAAATACATTATATATTATATAAAATATTTTATTAATTTTAAATAATTACACCTTTTGTTTAATTGTTTATATATGAAGAGTTCAGATGCAAAAGCCTCTAAGTGCCATTTGAAATTTTCTTCTAGAATTTTCTACCTATTAATTGTTATTTAAGTGAAATTACTGAACTTAAATATACAAGTTTGATAAAAATCATCATTAAAGAAGAAAATTTCAAATGGCATTTAGAGGCTTTTGCATCTGAACTCTTCATATATATAAAACAAAGATAAGCTCAGTAGTGGGGAACTTTTTGCACATAAAATCAAATGTATTTAATCTATTTTACAAAAAGTAAAGAACAGAACTTCACTGCAGGTCAGATTTTTTTTTATTAGATTATTAGCAAAATTTATGCTGTAATTTTGTCCAATTCAGCTCCGATGCTTTTCTCTCCTGTTCCTCGTCTTTTTGCTGTAAAGTTGTGATCAATAACATTTACTGGTAAAGTAAAGACAATGTTTGCAGTTCTTCTGCATATCCTTCGTTATCTGAAAACAAACCTTCAAATTCGAATGAAGGCTGCTCACTTTTTACATAATACACATCATTTCACTGACCAGCCTAATCTAACCTTGCACTGACATATCTTAAAATATATCAGCGCCATTGTTTTGTCTAAAGATGCACATGTTTTTTTTTTAAAGACGTTGAAAAACCACTTAATTGAACCAAGGCCTAATCCTGGCTGAATCTACGCCTGTCTTTGAAACCAGGCTTTCTTTTTGATTTTTTTATTGTATCTGTTGTCTGGTAATTTAGAACATAAGAATGATATATATATGAAATCGTAATGTAACGTTTTACTAAACGTTTAACTTATCGTGCACCTTATCTGACAAGAGAGAAAAATGTGAAACGCGTTCAGAAAAAGGTTTTCCGAAGGTGTGAACGGCACTTAATGTTCTTGAGGTCTATTTTAGCCAATCTTGTAAAAAAACATCTGATCTAGATATTTATGCATTTTCTCTCCTTTGTCCCAAGAAATTTGTGCACTTGAATCTGAATGATAATATATTTCACAGAGCAACCAATAGTAGTAGGGGCTGCAGGCATGTAGGGGCTGGATCTGCCCATCCAAAACCAGAAAGTGATGATTCAAGAACAAAGTAAAATCCAACTCCTACACAAGCTGCTCCTACAAGTCTCACAAAAAAACAGCATGTTTCATTAGTCAGGAAACTTGACTCACAGTGGTTTTCCACAAGATCACAATGTTCATCATGCTGGGATTGTGTTTGTACATGCAACATAATCATGAATGTAATTGTGGTGGGAATGACGACATGTTCTTTGATGATGTGGTGATGGCAATAGCAGGTTGACTTACTAAATCCTACATTAAATCTGTATTGTCTACATACCCACACACCTAAAAACAACAGAATGTAAGTGAAAATTAGACCTAATTGCTGATGAAAGACACTAATATACAACATATCTTTTGATATTGTAAAAAAATAACCGCAATTTTAACGGTAAAATACTGTAAAAATGCTACAGTGCAAAACTGTTGATTGTAAAAAAAAATCGTAAAAAAAATCCCGTTCGCTTATGATATGCTTATGATAACTTTTGTTAACTCTACAATAAGTAAATCCACCATAGAAATTATACAGAACCTGAAGTTCAAAGACAATATTCTAAAGATGACGGCGCCCACGTTTCTCTGGTGCATAAGGTCTTAATAACTGTGATAATAATTTAACAGTAAAATACTGTTAAATTTACAGTTTTTGAAAGTGAAAAAGACCAAATCGTATATTGTATAATTTACAGTGGAACACCGTAAATTGACATTCCTACAATTCCCTGTGTGACACTTCACATTTTATGTATTTTTGTTGAAATAACTATGGTTCCTCATAACTGATTAATCCAGGTGTGTCTGACCTCAATAATCAGGCACACCTGAATTAATCAAGTTTGTCCAATAATGGCAGACAGGAAACAAGGAGATGGCCGAAGTTCAGGAAGTAGTGCAGCTGTGCATAAAGCCAATTGCTCTCCAGGCACCACAGCAAAATGTCTGACCAGGTGGCTCCAGGTGTGTGTGACAGCGATTTGCAGTGTAAGTGTTCACTACTCACTACTTCTAATGTGTGTGCACTAACTCAGATGGGTTAAATGCAGAGGACAAATTTCAAGTATAGGTTACCATACTTGGCCTTCACTTCACGTCACTTTTTAAATGCACAGTAGGCCTGATTGTAAAGTTATTTTTATTTATTTACTTAATTTAATTTAAATTTGATTCATAAAATTGTGTGTCCTGCATGACTAAGCATCTCTATAGCAAAACATCCTGCAAGTCATTAATGACATATAAATCAATCACACAGCCTTTAATCAGTGTGTTACCTAATCATGTCTCCAGGATGTGTGAATGTGGCAAGCTGTTTAGCATTAAACTCCCATGGCTGTTCTAATCCAACGCGTTCTCATCCCAAAGCGCCATATAGGACGCTTTTGCAAAAGCGTAAATATCCAACGCACATGGCACCCTTTAACGTCTAATGAGACGCTTCGGTTATGGTTAAGTTTAGGTAAGGTGTAGGGTAAGGGTTAGACCACTAGGGGGCGCCTTCTGCCCAAATATATCTGCGTCCCATTTCACGTTAAAGGTTACGCTTTTGCAAAAGCGTCCTATATGGCGCTTTGGGATGAGAACGGGCTCTAATCATAATTTAGTTTTGACTAATCAAAATTCCAATTTCTGATTAATTCCAATTTTTACTCGTTGTAATTGGAATTAAGATATCTACAATGCTATTTTGACTAGTCATAATCTTCCATTGGAAAATATATCTTGAAATGAGTTTTGACGAGTTAAAGATATCGCTATACTTGATTTTGTATTAGGCATAACAATTTACTAGTGACAATTAAATAGATATCTCTAAATACATCTGCATGTGTGACGCATCATTTGAAGATATCTACAACGTCTTTACAGATATCTTTAATAGAGTTTTGACTAGTCATAAAAGTATAGAGATATCTTGAATCAGATTTCTTACTAGTGCAATTATAATTGCAGATATCTCTAATATCATTCTGACTAGTTGAATTAGAATTATGACTCGAAATACAATTGTAATAATCCAAAATATATTTATGGACAGTCAAAACTTAGTTTTATATGCCAATATAGCTACGGCTTGCCATAGTGTGAGTGTTCATCCTGTGGCCACGGGGTGGCGTCTCTGAGAACCTGACAGTATTTGGATGGAAACTCCCTTAAAATTCTCACCTGGAGCCTCTTGTGGATTCACAGAGAGGAGTGTCTGAAAGCAGAGGAGAGCACAGTCCGCTTGGACTGTTCAAGACTCATTGCTCTCTAAAGAACAAGAGTTTTTTTTAAGAAAACTGGAATAATGTGGAAATGCCTCACCTGAACCTTCCAGACCAGATTCATATGGACTGTCCGATGTAAAGGATTTTACAGCGCCGAACAAGGAAACTGAGGGATCCAGAAGTTACAGGTAACAGCCCTACCCAGTCTGCCAACATGACTTCAAATCTTGTGTAATGCGTAGGCTATAACGCAAACTCACAACTGAAGTTAGAAGTTTATTTACTCGTAGTTAGCGCCATGCAGTGTGTTTAATGATTAAAAGTTTGTGCTCCATGGTATGTTGTAGTATATGTGGGTTTTACTTTCAGTATGTCTCTTTCTTTCACCTTTTTATGCAAGTTCTCATTTTTTTCTGACCCCATTCCTAAATCTATATTTAAGTCAGTGATGTTTTGAGATGATCTATTTAAAAGGTACATAAAAGCAATTCACCCAGACAATGAATTACTGAATGACAAGATATTTTAAAAAAATATATATAGGGTAGGTGTAACTTTTGGGAGATTGTAAAAACAAAGACTAAAAGGGCGAGGGGGTAATTAAAATGCCGAAATTCCTAAAAAAAAAAAAATGTTGGCATAAGTAGTTTGCCATGATATTTCATTTTTTGTTTATTTCCTTAAGAAAATAATAATACGTAGTAAAATATGATTCATATTTTAAAACTTTTGTCTACCAAATCAATGTCAGTATGGCGCAACCATTGTGCAGAAAACCATTTGTTGTCATGTGACAACCATACACAGGAAATTATATCATTGAGAGGACCCCTGTGGACCCTCATGACTGTCAATATGTCAGTAATATATATATATATATATATGTTTAGATAATATATGTTTGTGTACTGTGTATAATTATTTTGTACACATAAATACACACATGCATGTATATTTTTATGAAATATTTGCATTAATATATTGTATGTATATATATATATATATATATATATATATATATATATATATACTGTATATATATATATATATATATATATACACATAACATTTTATAAAATAAAATAATGTATAAAATAAAATGTATACATTATATATATATATATATATATATATATATATATATATATATATATATATATATATATATATACATTTTTTGAAATATATACATGCATGTGTATATTTAAATATTCAAAATAATTATACACCATAATCACACACTATGCAAACATAAACTTTCATTTTGGATGCGATTAATTGCAAATAATCGTTGCCTAACACTAATATAGACAAAAAGGCTAAGGTTAGATAAGGTCAAATAAAGTAAACCTATGAAACCTTAATGATAGTTGTGGTTACATTTTTATTTTTGTGTTTTTTTTTTTTAAGTATAAATGAAATAAAAACTCTTTTTGGGAAATAATGTTTAACACTCAAGTGTACATGGAAAATGTTTTATTACTTTTTACTTGTGGGTTACACCACATGACACTAGACATGTAAAATGCCCTCCCCCCTCCCCCCTTCTTGTATCATCTCAGACATTCTTATCTGTAATTGAGTTCCAATAAATCATTCAATTCTAGGCAAACTCTGTAAAATCGGTAGCAGTTCTGCATGTGTGTTTTTCTGCGGCATGAGAGTTTCTTTTCAACACGTGTATAGCTCAAAGACCATGAGCAGGTTTGTACATTAACCTGAAACAGATAGGAGACCTGCAGGGTTTGGAGGAGGTGGAGTGAGACAGAGGGACTCCTGCTCTAATGTTCTCAGGTAGTACGTTGTCGATCATGGGTGACCTGTGGGAGAGTGAGAGAGAAAGAAAGGAGATTGTAGGTATTGTTGATTTTGGGTGTGTCCCTGTACCCGTCAGGCTGCCATGCTGGGGCTTGTTTCTGTAGAGATTCCAGATCAGTTGCGCAAGTGTGTGCAGAAGCAGAAGGCGTGTGTGTGTGTGTGTTCTCCACTGCCCAACTGTAGGAAATTAAGTTACTGACTGATTTAATAGAGAGCCTCTTTAGTTTTGCTTTTGCTTTATCTGAATCCATCACACTTGCACACATCTGTACAGCCACGTGGTGAGGTCAAAGCCAGCTGTCATGGTCATGAGTTGTGTTTGAACTGTGTGAGGATGAGTGCCAATGCGACTCTGAGGGAGACGGACCTGAATATTTACATATAGTAATATACTGTATGTCTTTGACAGGCCCGTTGAGGACCCATCACTTTACAGTTTTAGTCCATGTCTGCTGTGTTAGGGCCCTCAGTATAGTGTGCTTTTGAAAATTGACAAAATAAACTTTTGGCTGATAACAAGTCACTGCCCTACTTTTTTTTCTATTTCGATAATCTGTTACTCTCTAGTGTACGTCACAATTCAAAAGACAAGATTTGTTGCTACTTCCATTTTATTGTGATTAAAAAATAAATAAAAATCTGCTTGTCAGTGGGAGGGGGTGAGGTTTTGAGGGTGTGTTGTTGAATTTAGCAAAACTGTGGAAATCTCTTACAGCACCTTTAATGCAAAATCGAGAGAGAGAGAGAGAGAGAGAGAGAGAGAGAGAGAGATCTCTTTGAGGTAATGTTGTTGATGATAGTTTTCCCACGCTTGTTTTCAAATGTTGCTTTTTTCAGGGGGAATTAAAACTGGTTTTCTTTGGCAGCTGTTGCGAGGTTAAAGTGGCTGACAATTGGCTGGTTTTGCTCCGGGGCATCATTCATTGGTTGTAAATTAACCCTCAGTAAACCGTCATAAACCATGTAGCTGATTGATCACTGATAGCTTCATCAGCACCTGAGAGATTTGATCACACTGATGTGTGTTTGTAGAAGATTATATTAGTACAGCGCTTAAATAGTTTTGATCTAAAGCTCTTGATTAAACAGGCTCTTATTCATTATATAAGTGTGAGACACTCCTAATTAGTGTTTAAGGATAGTTTTGTGAGACTTAAGGAAAGTTAAATTGTTTGGGTTATATCAGCATGAGACAGGTCTGGATTTGATAAAGATGATACAGTGAGATGATACAGTGAGACAGTTTTGAATTTTATGAAGATGATACAGTGAGACAGTTCTGGATTTTGTGAAGATGATACAGTGAGACAGGTCTGGATTTAATAAAGATGATACAGTGAGACAGTTCTGGATTTCATGAAGATGATACAGTGAGACAGTTCTGGATTTCATAAAGATGATACAGTGAGACAGTTCTGGATTTCATAAAGATGATACAGTGAGACAGTTCTGGATTTCATGAAGATGATACAGTGAGACAGTTCTGGATTTAATGAAGATGATACAGTGAGATAGGTCTGGATTTAATGAAGATGATAGAGTGAGATGATACAGTGAGACAGGTCTGGATTTCATAAAGATGATACAGTGAGACAGTTTTGAATTTTATGAAGATGATACAGTGAGACAGTTCTGGATTTTGTGAAGATGATACAGTGAGACAGGTCTGGATTTAATAAAGATGATACAGTGAGACAGTTCTGGATTTCATAAAGATGATACAGTGAGACAGTTCTGGATTTCATGAAGATGATACAGTGAGACAGTTCTGGATTTAATGAAGATGATACAGTGAGATAGGTCTGGATTTAATGAAGATGATAGAGTGAGTTGATACAGTGAAACAGGTCTGGATTTCATAAAGATGATACAGTGAGACAGTTCTGGATTTTATGAAGATGATACAGTGAGACAGTTTTGGATTTTATGAAGATGATACAGTGAGACAGTTTTGAATTTTATGAAGATGATACAGTGAGACAGTTCTGGATTTTATGAAGATGATACAGTGAGATGATACAGTGAGACAGTTCTTGACTATATAAGGATGTTGCAGTGAGACAATAGTGTATTTTGTGAAGATGATACAGTGAGACAGTTCTGGATTATATAAGGATGATACAGTGAGACAATGGTGTATTTTGTGAAGATGATACAGTGAGACAGTTCTGGATTATATAAGGATGATACAGTGAGACAATGATGTATTTTATGAAGATGATACAGTGAGACAGTTTTGAATTTTATGAAGATGATACAGTGAGACAGTTTTGAATTTTTTATGAAGATGATACAGTGAGATGATACAATGAGACAGTTCTTGACTATATAAGGATGTTGCAGTGAGACAATAGTGTATTTTGTGAAGATGATACAGTGAGACAGGTCTGGAATTCATGAAGATGATACAGTGAGACAGGTCTGGAATTTAAGAAGATGATCTAGTGAGATGATACAGTGAGACAGTTCTGGATGTCATGAAGATGATACAGTGAGACAGTTCTGGATTTTATGAAGATGATACAGTGAGACAGTTCTGGATTTTATGAAGATGATATAGTGAGATGATACAGTGAGACAGGTCTGGAATTCATGAAGATGATACAGTGAGACAGGTCTGGATTTCATAAAGATGATACAGTGAGACAGGTCTGGATTTCATGAAGATGATACAGTGAGACAGTTTTGGATTTTAAGAAGATGATACAGTGAGACAGTTTTGAATTTTATGAAGATGATACAGTGAGACAGGTCTGGATTTCATGAAGATGATATAGTGAGACAGTTTTGGATTTTAAGAAGATGATACAGTGAGATGATACAATGAGACAGTTCTTGACTATTTAAGGATGTTACAGTGAGACAATAGTGTATTTTGTGAAGATGATACAGTGAGACAGTTCTGGATTATATAAGGATGATACAGTGAGACAATGGTGTATTTTGTGAAGATGATACAGTGAGACAGTTCTGGATTATATAAGGATGTTACAGTGAGACAATAGTGTATTTTGTGAAGATGATACAGTGAGACAGTTCTGCATTTCATGAAGATGATGCAGTGAGACAGTTCTGGATTTTATGATACAGTGAGACAGTTTTGAATTTTATGAAGATGATACAGTGAGATGATACAATGAGACAGTTCTTGATTATATAAGGATGATGCAGTGAGACAATGGTGTATTTTGTGAAGATAATACGGTGAGACAGTTCTGGATTATATAAGGATGATACAGTGAGACAATGATGTATTTTATGAAGATGATACAGTGAGACAGTTCTGGATTTTATGAAGATGATACAGTGAAATGATACAATGAGACAGTTCTTGATTATATAAGGATGATGCAGTGAGACAATGATGTAT